TGGTGATTAGCTGGTGTCCCGTGTCGGCCAGAGATTCTTCCCACAGCCAGACTCCGGGGGTTGCCACCAGCACCCACACCTCGCTCGAACCACCCCTGCATGGGTTCCCTCCTTCCTCAGATTCCTGGGGATGAGGGGCCATGCTGCTTCCTGCCTTGGCTGTGCAGGAAAGAGCCCGGGGCTGTCCTCGGCCAGTGCTGCCTGCTGTCCTCCTTACTGTCATCTCCACAACGCATTGCGAGTGTTATGGGAGATGTGGTTTCTTTTTGCTTTGCTTTACATCCCTGGTAGCTTTTGAGGCTGATCCAGTTCTCACTGTCTCTTTTATGGGCTCAAAGATTGGTCCCTGGTGTGGAGTCCTCTCTCTCTCTTCTCTCTCTCTCTCTCTCTCTCTCTCTCTCTCTCTCTCTTTCTCATCTGTTTGAGACAGAGTCTCACTATGCAACTCAGGCTGGCATTGAACTCACTTTATAGGCCAGGCTGGCCTTAAACTCACAAGGCTCGGGCGGGGGAGATGGCTCAGTGGAATAAACGCTTCCCTAGCAAACGCAAGGATCTGAGTTCAATCCCCGGTCCCCCCCCACAAAAAAAAAAAAAAAACCAAAAACCAAAAAACCCTCACAAGGCTCCTCTTGCCTCAGCCTCCAGAGAGCTGGGATTACAGGCATGTGCCACTATACCAGGCTCCTTTTCTTCTCTGTCTGATTTTTAGCTGCTTAGCTTGCTCTGTCTTTGTCTCTGTCTCTGTCTCTGTTGGTGTCTCTCTTGCTGTCTGTCCCTCTCCCTCTGGTGTGTGCGTCTCCATCTCCCACAACCCAGAGTTGCATAGCCCACTCTATGGAGACTGTGGCTGTGTCCCAGTCAGGCTGGCCCCATGGGGCCTTCCTGTGGGCTCCAGGATGTCATCCACTGAGGCTGGGTCCCCTACTGTTGCCCGGTCCTCTCCAGCACCTTCCACACCTGACCTGAGCTTGGTGCCACTGCCCTGGGCCAGACCTCGGAGTGTGGGTGAGCCAGACTCCTGGCCTTTATGCCCACAGGTTCACACCCTCTCGTCCTCTGGAAACTTTGGGGCATGTGGTAGTCAGCATGCCCAGGGCGGTCAGCCACTCCCTGCTGCTCACTTGCCACACTGACCTGCATGTGCTTTGCAATGACCCTGGGCTGGTCATGCCTCTCTGTCCCCAGTGCCCAGTGCAGAGGGTAGCACTGAGCAAAGGCTCTTAGAGCATTTGTAGCATGAGTGAATCAATGAACAAATGGATGAAATCTGGTCCTCCCAGCCCCCAGGCTGGTGATGGGCCCCAGAGCTGCTGTCATCCACCTGCTTGCACCTCAGTCTTGTTCCATTCCCCAGCACTGCTGGTCCTTGCTTTTGCTAAGTCCTGGGCCTGGAAATGCCAGTAGGAAGAGGGCCCTGTCCTCACAGGACTTCCCAGTCAGTTGGGCACAATGGCACTGACACAAGCAACAGCCACACGGGTCATGCTGGGCACACGCAGGTTACACATTTGGGACAGACCAGGAGGACAGGGTGGCATGGGGTGGATTCGGCCCTGGGAGGCCCTGAGAGTTGGTTCAGGCTCAGAGAGCAGATAGAATTTGAGCTGGACCTGGAGGGATGGAAGAGGGAATGAAGGTCATCTAGGCAAAGGGCGGCCCTGGTACAGGCAGGACGGCGTGAAGGTCGCGCCTGCAGTGAGGTGGTGCTGGGGGAAGCGGTGATGATTCAGCCAGAAGGGACACTGAAGGCCAGGTCTCTGGGATCTCAAAGGCCATGCCAAGCCCTCTGACCTGGTGGGTAACGGGGAGCCTTGGGGGACTAGGGAGAGGAGGTGTGTCCCCCTCCATGCAGGCAGTGCTCTGTGGAATGTGCTGTCTGGTTTGCTGTCTTTCTCCTGGTGACGCTAGGTTAGAATGACCAGGCCACCAGGCAGCTCCTGCTGGGAATGGAAGAGCCCGTGGCTCTGTCTCCTCTTCTCCCTTCCTTCTCTGGGGAGATGAGCAATTTCTTTGCTTCTCTGGGACTCAGTCTTCTGTAAAATGTGCTCAGTACCCCACCCTTGCAGATTTCAGGGATGAAATGAAATCATGGCAGGTGCTTCATCATTTGATGTCGCTTCATTCAGTGTTAAGAAGGTGGCCTCGGGGAGCAATGCCAGGGTCAGAGGACCTTCAGCTCCCCCTCCATGATGCCTGTCTCTCTGGTCAAAGTCAGTGAGATGCCACCCAGGAATCCCAGGCACTCAGTGGGTGCCCTCGACCATGGCGGCTGCTTTGCTTGGCCAGGCACCCACCTCCTGCCATTCCCCCCAGGAGGGGCTGTGCCCAGGCCACATGGGGCTCCCTTTTTCCTTTGGCAGAGCCCCTTTACATGTACCTCTTCTCTCTCGCTCACAACCTGCAGCCCTCTGCCCTAGCACCCAGTAGGTGCCTTGCCCCTGCGGAAGCTGCTCCTCAAGCCTTCTCCCTAGTGAATCCACCCACTCCTATCCTGTGCCCTGGTGGGACAGAGCTGAGCCTGTTGCAGAGAAGGGGACCTGGGGCCCAGAGAGGGCAGACCAGAGCCTGGCACTGTGGCATGGCTATGAGTTCCTCGCCGGGACAGCCTGAGAAATAGACGTGTCAGTGAGGACCCTGCAGATCAGGGATCATCCTGGTTCACACAGCAAGGAACCAGCTGAGGCGGAGTGCAAGGCCAGGGATCTCATAAGCAGAGTCTAAGCCATAGAACAAACAGGGTGACAGGCGTGAGAGCCCCTGGCATGGAGTGCAGAGGACCTGGCACAGAGGTGGCATCGTGTCCTCTTCCATCTGATTGTGCAGAGAAAAGGGACTGGGGGAGAGAAGGCTGCCCACGCCCCAGGGAGTGCTCAGCAGGCAAAGGCCTGCACCCAGACCACTGTTGGTCTTTTAGGCCCACCTGTTCCCTGTGGGCAGGCTTCTCTCCAGAGAGTGGAAACTTCCCGGGAGCTGTCGGACAAACAAGAGCAGGACTTTCCACCCTGGCGCACAGGACTAGAGCCTGAGGCTCTCCAGGCTGTCACCACCCCGCTCTGCACCTCTGGGAGCACCTAGCTCCCGTCCCCCCGGCTAGTCTCAGACATCAGAGGCGCTCGTGCTCCCACAGGAGCCTGGATGGCAGCAAGGCCAAGGAGGGAGGACAGTGGAAGGTTTGGTTGTGGGAATGAGAGAGGGAGCTCTGAAGCCCGAGCCTCAGCAGCCCACACTTCTGCAGCACCAATGAGACCCAGAAAGGCCCGAGGGGGGAACAGTACCCAGGGCCTGGGGCAGGCATGGCCGAGCCCAGGCCAACAGGAGCAGGAACCAAGCCATCCAAAGGACCAGCCCCTCCTGGCTGTAGAAGGATGACTGCTCCTTTGCCAGTCAAAGCTTCTGTCTAGATGCCTTCCTTCTGGACCGGGTTGATGAGGGTCCCCCATAAATGATCAGATGCACCCCACTTCCTGACTGCATTTGATCCTTGGCAGAGCCCCCTAACCTCCCCAGCACAAACCCACATGTGAGCATGGGCACTTTCCCACATTTGCTTCCAGAGGCAGCCCCTGCTGCCCCTGGGGCTCATGCCCTCTGCAGCAAGCATGGGGCCACCTGGCCAACCCAGCTGCATGCCTGCTGGCCCCTGGCTGCAGGGCACAGGCAGATAGAACCCTGTAAAGCCCTCTTCCCGTGACCTCTGACAGATGCAAGATGTGAATGCACCATCTCTTGTTTTCCCAGGAGTAAGCTAAGGTCCCCCAGAGGCAACAGTGCAGGAGGGTGGATACTTAAGTCACCTGGAGGGGTAGTGTTGACAGCGACAGGGGATAGGGATAGGGATATCCATTTGGCAGGCGCAGCAGCCAGAGGCTCCCACCCATATCGAAAGTCCCTGCACCAGAAAGTCCCTGCACCACCAGGCCACTCACACAACTGCTCTGAGTCACACTCAGGGTAGCTGCTGCCCCCTCAGGCAGGGCTGTCAGTGCCAACCAGGCATGATGCCACATTTGTCCTGCCCCAAGGGGCACTGGTGTTTACTGGTGAATAAAAGCGGCCTCTTTTCGCATTGAGGACATTTTTATTTTAGTCATGTTGTCTGTACCCCCTCTGATGTGGGTCACAGGTGCCTCTGCCTTGACCACCAGAGCAAGGAGCATGGATCCCTCACCTTGTCCATCATCCAGGTGTGAGCAGAGACCTGCCTTCAGACAGATGTGCCTGTCGTTCGCCTCACAGCAGAGGAAGAAAGGCCCAGAGAGAAGGGGGCTGCATCCTGGGGTGCCGCCCCCTGACTCAGCTCAGGCCTCTTTTCTCTTGAGCCCAGAACCCCAACCTCCACCCAGGGCCCTGTCCAGGTGATGTCCTCCACTCCTGATGGCCCAGGGCGAAGCTCAGAGTGTGTGGACCTGGTCTGAGGTAGCACCTGCCCCCTCCCCTGCATTTGCCCCTGTACCTGGGGTGGGCCTAGAACTCTGCAGAGACCAGCAGCAACAGGTGCTGTTGCAGGGTGCAAAGGCTCTACCACTGCCTTCACTGGCCCTGGCCCTCTGCTCCCCCGGTGTCAGTTTCTTAATCTCTGCTTCCACTATGCCTCTGCTCTGTGCTATCTCCAATGGGCAAGGAAGCAGCTCCCTGCAGTGTGAGCACACTGATGTCAAGAACAAGCTCAGGGGTTCCCATCTCTGTCCCCCAAGGTCCCAGCTGAGCACCTGGCACACGGCAAACACTCACTGATGACCTGATGCAATGGAATTAAGCCAGTAGCTTGATGTGACCTCACCTACACCAGGATGGGTGCATTTGGCAGGTGTGCCACTTTATCTGGGTCGGTGCCTGCCCTGAGACTGCATGAGAATGCCCAGATGACACCTGGAGCAGGAGGCAGGCAGGGGGCACTGATGGGAGCGTCCAGCTCAGAGGAAGCGAGTGGCGCAAACACCAGCTCACTCTAAGAGTTGCGACATCAGGAGAAGCGTGAGCAGAGGGTCCAAGGGCAGCCTGGGCAAGACGAGCTTGGGCAAGGGTCTGGGTTGCAAGATGGGGCTGGGGGTGGAGGGGCTGCCAGGGCTGGGGTTGGCAGGGCCAGCCACACAAGGCTATGGATGCTGGGGTGAGAGCAGCAGGAGGCCTGGGCTGGGGGAGACAGGGGCAGTCCTGGTGAAAATGGACTACTCCATTGAGCAGGCACCAGGAGCTGGCGGCGAGGATCTGGGCACAGAGAGCACCATGAGGCCAGCTTTGGGGGATGGGAAAGGCTTTTGAGGACCTGGCTTCCATAAATATTCAACACAACAAGCTCTGCCTTCAAATGTTTGGCAGAGAAAACAAGCGATGGTCCAGACAGCAACGAGCCCTCTCCAAGGTTCCCTTAGAGCCCCTGAGAAGCCCTTGGGTCCTCCACTTGGTTTGACCCTTCACATAGTCCCCTTTGGCAGAAACTGAGGCCCAGTGAGTTCAAAGGGGGTTAGCAATGGTCCCAGCTTGGAACTAGGGAGCAGTTCCATCCCAGCCTTGGGTGTCAGGCTCAAAGCTTAGATCCTTGTCTGGAAGGGAGTCACCAGGGCTCTCAGGCAGTCCATAATACAGGTCCTCCTCTTCCTCCTCAGGTTCCTCCAGGCCTGTGTCCGAGGCCTCCTCCTCCTCTTTCCTCCTTAGGTGCTGCTGCCAGCTGTTGAGCAGGACTGCTTCCTGCCTCTGCCCCTCTCGGGGTGCATCCTCCAAAGTAGGGGCATCATCAATCAGAGCAAAATCATGGAAGCGATCCAGCGTGCTCCTGTCGGCCTTGGGTTCTTTCTGCGAAGGCTGGGGCACCTCTCTGTCAGACAGAGATGGGTTGGGGCTGCTGCCATCGCTCAAGTCCACATCCAGGTCATCTTGGAAGGAGGCCAGGGGTGCAGGTCCCTGGGGATAGGCCGGTGGGCTGCGGGGGCAAAGAGCGCAGGGTGGAGGGCAGCTCTGTTCACAGCATGGGGTCCAGGTCTCAGCCACTAGCTGCAAGGCCTGAGGGAGGCAAGTTCACCTGTCTGGGCCTCAGTTTGCTGTCAAGGCCACTCACCCACTTGCCCAGGCATTCAGGGCTCTCCTTGCCCCACAGGAGTCTCCTCTGTTTCCTGGCAGCCTCCCCCAGGGGCCCAGGAGCTCCTGAAGGTTGGGAGCCAGGCAAGGCCTGGCAGGGAGTTGGTGCCCAGGACAATGATGGAATGAATAAAGAAGTGGATGAATTAGGAGCTCATAAGCAATCAGGGGCAGGGCGGGAGGGAGCGGGGCCTGGTGCCCAAGGTCAGGGAGCAGGTTGGTCGCTTGGCCAGGATGGGAGCTTCAATGCTCAGGCCCTGGACCCCTGCTACTTGTGATGAGGAAGAGCCCACTGTGCTCCACCCACTTGCATGCGTGTTCTGGGTCCTTACAACAGTCTTGTGCAGGAATGACTTCTCCCACTGGGGAAACTGAGGCCTAGGAACTGGCCATGATCACACAGCCACAGAGCTGCCTGACTGCACCCACAGCTCCACCTGAAGCCTCTAGTGCCCTGTGCCCTGCTGCCCATCCTCTCTCTCCCCAGTGTCCCTTCCCACCCTCAGCACCTTGTCCTGTGCCCTGGGGCCAGGCGGCACTCACCCTCTTCCGCGCACTCACCTGGGGCTGCTCTGAGTCCATTTTCCCTCACTGTCCTCCAAGGCCCTGTGGACGACCACGGCTGCCTCCACCCAGGCCTGAGCCTGGCAAGGGCCACCTTCTCCTCCATCCCTGGTCCTCAGCTCCACCTCAGGGGCCAGTAGTGGGCGGGAGTCAGCCCTGTAGCCCATGTGGCTGAAGTCGGGCAGGCTCTGATCATAGGCGGCCTCCTCCCACAGCCTGGCATAGGGGGTCTGGGGGCTGTGCCCCAGGAGGGGAGAGAAGGGACAAAGGTCACACAGCCGGCCTGGCTCTCCCCTGGCCTGTGGTCTAGCCCAGTCTCACAGAGCCTCCAGGGGGCGCCGCTGCACTCATTTCGTGAGGGGGCGGGGCCCACCTGGGAGAAGCCAAAGACCCAAGCTCCCACCAACCCAACCTGACTGCTCCTGCTCCCTTCACTCTAGGACAATGTCCTCTTATCTCTGCACTCAGCAGCACCTAAGGCTGGCCTGGCCCCAGCTGCAGGGCTCCTCCCGTTAGCCCCTCCGATTCTCCTCCACCCCCTGTGCACTGTGAAGAAATGGAGGCACGGGTTGACCCCGGCATGTGGGATCTCTGTGGTGACACAGGTGTGAGGTGCTGGTGCTGGCGCCAACCCAGGCGTCTTGTTCTGTCACTGTGCTTAAACTGAGTTCCCTGCCCAGAGCTGCACACCTGGGGGATGAGAAGACCCCAGGAGCCAGGTGACTGGACCCGTGCTCTCCCAGGGACCACCCAGCCCAGTCCCACTGTTCAGGTTGAGGACAATGTTCAACTGGTGTGCCAGGAGCACAGGAGCCACCGCTGTCCTGCCCAGAGAGAGCTCAGAGCCCCAGCCCCACACGGAGAGGCCTGTATGGGTCACAGAAGCCCACGTGCTCTCAGGGCTGTCAGGTCTGAGGAACACCAGAGCAGGTAGCTGTGGCCAGGGAAGGCCAGAGCTCAGACCCCACCTCCACCCCACTCCCCACTGGATTGGGGGGTGGGGACTGAGTTCCTCTGAGCCTCAATTTCCACATCTATAAAATGGGATTGAGAAGGCTCACTCATAAAATAGAATTCAGAACAACCATGTTACTATCACATACTCAGGAAGGAGGAAAGCAGGGCTGGAACCAGGGGGAGTGTGTGTGGCGGCATTCAGCCTCCCCTGCCACTCCCGTGGGAGTTTCCCCAAGTTTCCTTGGCTGGCTGCTCAAGCCTGCACCTACCTGTTCATTTCTGTGGCAAGTCCATTCTCCAGCAGGGCCTTTGGGGACAAGATACCTTGGAAGTCAGAGTCAGCGGGCACAAAAGCGACCTGCGGGCCATGGGGAAATGTCCTCTCTGAGCTGCCCCTGGCCGCTGCTTGTCCCAGGTGGGTCAGCCGGCAGGGCAAGCAGGGAGCAGCTACACAGACCCTGCCCAGAGCCAGTGGCCTCCAGGCTGCTGCTCCTGTCTGGCTCTTCGCCGTCACCTGAGCAGTTGCGTGGATTCCTGGCTCCCTTCTGGGCACCAGGGCAGTGCTGAACTCACACCCTGCCAGCATCCAGAGCTGTCTGCGCCCAGCCTGCAGCTTCCCATGGGCACAGGCGCTTCACCCACATCCAGTGAGCACATGGAAAGCAGAATGTTGCCCTGTGCCTCCCCCGGGGCTGGGTGGGGGCAGAGAAGTGGAGCCATTCCTGTCCCTGCAGCTTCCAGGACCCAGTTGTCTGCATGTTGCACTCCCAAGGGTGGGCCTGGGGGGTGGGCAGGAGGCAGGCGTGAGCGCGGCCTAGGGATGGGGCTGGACAGGCCCTGTCTTTGGAGCTGAGAGTCGGGGCAGGCTGCCTCCTCTGCTAGGTCCTCACAGAGGGCCCCTGGGGGCTGGGCTCCTGGGGGCTCGGCCCCTCCTTGAGCTGGCCATTAGTGGCGCCCCTGCTGCCTGTGCTCAGAGTGTTACACCCAGCACTACTCCCCAGGGGGGCCCAAGTGGAGGCCCAGCCAGCACGGTGCGCAGCAGGAGACCCATTTGGCTTTGGAAGGTGGGGCATCCACACACACGCTACCACATGGGCCACACTGTGCCACAAAATAAACCACCACAACAGGACAGGTAGGGACAATCCCACATCCTTGAGGTTTCTTTTTGTCCAAAACCACACCGGAGTGAGGAGAATGGCAGTCACCGGAGAGGGTCTAGGGCAGGGACGGCAAAGCTTTCCAAGGTGAGCACACAAACTACAATTCAAAATCCACTATTGATCGTCAAGTTCCCACCCTTCAATGAAACCTAAAAACTGAGGTTTTAGAAACAAATTTTTTTTCTGGAACCAGGGATTGAACTCAGGACCTTGCGCTTACAGGGAAGCACTTATTCTACTGAGCCATTTCCCCAGCACTCCCCTTTTTTTTCAGAATTGGGGACTGAACTCAGGCCCTTGCCAGGGAAGCATTTATTCCACTGAGCCATCTCCCCCCGCCCCCCAAGGTTTTAGTTTAGAAAAAATAATCATGCAGCTAGTGACGTCATCGCAGAGCAGATGCCCGCCACAGTGCGCCATCACTGGTGAGGGCTTCAATCTCGTGAGATGAGACGCACTCCTAAGGAAACTGCGCCGTGCGGGGAGGGCTCTTAATACCACAGAACCGCACACTTCACCATGGGCAAGACCCGAAGTTTGTTTGTTCCAGCAAAAATAAAACCCATTCATCTGCATAACCAATAAGAAGCGAAACTTCTGTGTTTGCCTATTTACCACGATTTTCGAGACCTGGGCAGGTTACGCATGTCCTCTGGGGTTGCTGTGGTGATCCAAGGCAGACACTCCTGGTGATACCCCTTGGTCACAACACAGGAGCTCCACTCTCCTCAGTGAAAATGTTCTCAGACAGCACGCTGAGTCCTTCCTGCGTTAAAACTGGCTCACAAACAGCACCCCACTTTCCCTCCCAGAGTGCAGTGAGTAGAACACATGCATCTGCCCCAGCAGAGCTCCATAGGAAGGATGGAGGGGTTCCCAGACTCCTGCAGGGGGTGAGCGTCCCCCAGACATGTGGAAGCAAGGCAGGGTCTGGGCATCCTCTGCACCCGGGAAGGATGCCTGTAGCCAGCTGGCTGTGTGCTTCTTAGAAGTTGCCTCCTTATTACCTACCTCATGGCTCAGTCACTGTCACAATCCCCAGCTGCAAGAGCACCAGCCCCATTACTAACATCATCACCATCATCTCCATCACTGCCATCATCTTCATCCCCACCACCATCCCCACCAGGCCCATCACCATCACCACCATCAGCGTCACCATCACCACCATCAGCACCACCACCACCACCTCCATCACCATCCTCTCCATCCCCATCCTCACCAGGCCCATCACCATCACCATCCTCTCCATCCCCATCCCCACCAGGCCCATCACCATCAGCATCACCACCACCACCATCAGCACCACCACCTCCATCACCATCCTCTCCATCCCCATCCTCACCAGGCCCATCACCATCACCACCA